GTGTGTTAAACAGCCCGGTTTAAATACTCAGGACATCACCTTCTTTTTTATATATATATATATATATATAGATATATAGAGAGAGAGAGAGAGAGAGAGAGAGAGAGAGAGAGAGATAATAGACAGACAGATAGATAGATAGATAGATAGATAGATAGATAGATAGATAGATAGATAGATTCCATGTGTGTTTTCACTTTTGCAGCAACTGCTGACGTAATACAGGATCCTTCCATTCATAATGTGTATTGTGTACAGTTATCCTTTGTTTCAGTCATGTCTAAGCACAACATACATGATGTTCTGTGTTCTAAATTCAGCAGCTGCAACCTGAGCACATTCAACTATCAAAAGTAGAAACACGAGTGTATTTTGAATTAAGATTTTGGATTACCCTCCTTTACACTGTTTGACTATTGCCTGTTCCTGAATCCTGTTTTATTCCATTTCACTCTGTTTGCCTCCTGCAGTACAACTCTAACCCCCTAATCCCATTAGATTGTTAAAGTGACACACTGTTAAAGTTAAACGCTCTCCAGAGCCTGTGAGCTTTTAAGATATTTTAAGGCCCCAGTCTTTAGGATTTAGCTCAGATGACTCGAGCTTTGTTTTATTTTGAGTCTTACTTTTTCAGCCTGCTTCTGTTTGCAGGGCTAAATGGATGGTTCACTCAAAAATGAATTCTGTCATGACATGAGGCTGAGAAAATTATGAAAGTGTTTTCATTTTTGAGTGAACTATCCCTTTAAGTGTGTTATTAGCCACTGACATTCATGCAACATTTATCCCTGATTTCTTTGTGAAACAAGGTTGGCAATAAACTAGTTTTGAATGAGTCATGTATGATAATGATGTCATTCATTTATTATTATAATTATTAATAATATGTGATTTATTACAAGTCAGACCAAACCTGCATTGTACAAAATACTGGTCACACTTTATTTTAAGGTCCAGTTCTTGCTATTAATTAACTATTAACTATGACTTTGGCCTCAATAAACTCCTAATTACTGCTTAGATAGGTAGTTGTTAAGTATTGGGTAGGATTAAGAATGTAGAATATGGCCATGCAGAATATGTGCTTTATAAAGCATGTGTATAAATACGCACTAATAACAGCCAATATGCTAGTAACATGCATGCTAATAAGCAGCTAGTTAATTAGTTACAGACTAATACAGCATATTTGCTAAACCGTTTAATTGACTTTTGGACAATTTTGAGATTATTGCTGATAACGGTTCCCCATTTATCAATTAACAGAAGTGTTAGCATTTATTTGTGACCCTTGAAACATCCACCAACAACCTTGCCAACAGATAATGCACAGGTATGCAATTTCAAACGCAAACTAGAAATTCATCAATTGTCTGTTCTATTTATTTATAAATATATTTGTATTTTATCAAATACATTATATAGATTATATATTCAGTATATATTTAGATGTACTTTATGGATTTTTAATTTATATTATGAGTTTGAACACTTCTTTCCTGTTTGACCTTCTATTTGCATATCCGTTTTGCCAGGGATCTGAAGAGACCTATTATTTATTCTTCATGGTGGCAGATCTAGCAAGGCTTCAGTGAAGCATTGGCTCTCAACGCATTTGAATATTTTTCCTCCCACACTCTCGACACATCCTGGCTTTTTAGTTAGTGCTGCATATTGTATCTTAAAGTTAGTACCAGATGTCATTTCTTCATCCCACCATATCCCCTAGATTAAGACGGACATGTTGATGTCTTTACCTGAACATCAGCACAGAAAGTCCAGGTGGAGCCAATACCCCAACAAAGATGCTCTGAGACTAATCAAACAACGTGCATGTTCATATTCAATCATTACTGAGACACATAAATCCTCCTGGCAATTGCATCAAATACTTCACAAAGCAGATATTGGCATTTTGTACCATTTTGCAGCACTATTTACCATATTCACACATACAGTAGAATGACTCATGAAATGTCACTCTGCTTATGACAGGCCGTCATGCTCTCACAGAGTAAAATGACACATCTTGAGTGTAAACCCCAGATCACAAGCTAGTTTTCCTCTTGAAAAGGCACAAGCCCCTCCGCGCTCCCACTGCAAGGGCACTGCTTATAAATTATTACGATGGGTTGACATACTCAGTATAGCAGGGTAGTAAAAGCTGTCACCATTGCTCTTCACGAAGCTTAACTCAGCTGTTGAAACCCTCTGGAGGCCGGCTCCCATTCGCAGTCTGTGCCGAACAGCTCAAGATCACAAAATGCAGATGGATTATGGTGAGCAGAAGTCTATAGCGCGGTTCTCCTGTCTGGAATCAGCTCTCGCTGCAGGTCTCTGAAGGACCACGGTCCAGAAACTTATCTCGGATATCAGTGTCAGCAGGGCTGGGGAGATTAGCTCAATTAGATCCAGTTTAGCCAATACATGCTGAGGTCGGAAAAGGGATTAAAAACATGTGTGCCCCGGGGGGCAATAACACAAGATTCCCGCTGTAATTTCCCTAATTCCTCTCCTGCCTGCCCTCAAATCGCTGCTGCCTGCCCTCAAATCGCTGCAGTGTTTAGGAGAGGTACAGCCAGAGGCAAAGACAAGGTACAATTATTTCACTGATTTATTAAAAAAGACATAGATTACGTTTTGGGGGATAATTCTGAAATAAATGCAGATTATAGAGGGTCGCAGGGAGGATGTATTTTTGAAATGAGCATTTAGCACGTACTGTTCCATCATCCTGAGGTCAGTAGGTTTTTCCATGGGTTTTTGATTAAATGCCTGAAATAAGGTCTGTGGTGAACACAAGCTCAAGGTTTCATGTTCATGTTATGTTAGAAAATTTGGTCACACTTTAGTTTGGGAACCAATTCTCACTATTAACTAAATATTAACTACATCTTTTGCCTCAGTAAACTCCTAATTTGCTGTTTATTAATAGTTAATAAGGTATTTGTTAAGTTTAGGTAAGGGGTAGGGTTAAGGGCTCTAAAATATGGTCATGCAGAATAATGCATTAAAGTGGTCATATGATGCTGCTAAAAAGAACATTATTTTGTTTATTTGGTGTAATGCAATGTGTTTATGCGGTTTAAGGTTAAAAAACACATTATTTTCCACATAATGTAAATTTTTGTTTGAACTCTATGCCCCGCCTTTCTGAAACACGGAGATTTTTACAAAGCTCATCGTTCTGAAAAGCGAGGTGTGCTCTGATTGGCCAGCTATCCAGTGTGTTGTGATTGGCTGAATACCTCAAGCGTGTGACGGAAACGTTATGCCCCTACCATACTGTGTTTCCATGTGTTTCCACCGGGGTGTGACGAGACAAAACCAATAAAATCCATTACATACGAGGCAT